GCTGAGGCACATATGGACTTCATAGGCATTAGAGAACACCTGATTCACTTGTGTCTCGGTAAGCTGCTGATCGATAACAGTAGATCCCTTAACGGTGATTACTGGTTGTCCGGCACACATATTCACAAACTCCTCGGCGCTTCCTATACTAGTTAATCCGTCGCATTCTGGAACAATTGGCTAATTTAAAGAGGAAAATCTCTGTTCTCTCACTGGAGAAGCTCTTAATAAACCCACTTGATTTGTAGTACTGGATATCACAGAATTGGCAAAGGATTCTGAGTGAAGCAATTACAGAATGAGGAATCAGTGGATTGTTCTTTACAATTATCAGTGTCTCCTTCTCCTCGAATTTCAGCAATGCAGGGAACTCCACGATTTTCAGTTGTGTGTTGTCAGTAATTGTGATGGCTGGTTGTCCTATAAAAATTAATTAGCATTACAATGAACTGGGACAGAACTATTACTACGCTTGTGCCTCGTAAGATCGTATTTAGGTCAAACAATTTTACTTCTCAACTTGATCGTCTTCTCCAAGGATGTAAATCCGCTTCAAGTTTAAAACCGTTGAGATGCCGAACTTTACTAGTCCACTCTTGCAACGGTTTTTCCGTTATAAGGTGAGGTTCTGTTGCTATGAATTTAATTTTCTAGGAATTCACTTCGAGTTTTGTGATGGCTGTCACAGTTGTCAGGGCGCTCTCCGCTCTCGATCCCGCGCTGACAACTTTATCCAGCTAGCTGCTACTTACGTTTCGGCCTCTTTGCCTCCTTCAGAGCCTGAAAGTCGAAAACCGAATTGAGATTGATCCTCACATTGGCCTAGACAGTACTTAGAACAGTCCTCTAGATTAGTAGACCCCTTGGACTCGATCAAACAAGAGTGTCACATGGCTTACCTTGAACTCAGAGATCAACCATTAGGACGACCACACAAGAACGGAATTTCTGCGTACAATAAGCAACCCATCTCCTCCCTGATCTCACCGTAATTTAAAAATTGCCGAGGTCGAGGAAGGGCGCGAGGTCAGCTATGGTAAGCTACGGGGAGAAAGATGTTCGAAAGTATCATCAATGCCCACCATCTCACAATCTTAATCCTCGTATTTCCTCGTACGACATCAAGAAGCTTACCAAGTTTGCAAGGCTGCAATTCCTGAAGGAAGGGACAGCGCAAGCTCGTGTATGGTGAACTTGATATATCAATGCAGGCTTCTATGTAGACAGCTTGAGAGCAGAAGTTATTAATTTCTTCTTCAGTCACTTCCGTTGATTTTATGGTTATTTCAAAGCCTTGTGGCTGTTTGATAATCTGCTGTCCAGCGCATGCCTTCACAAATTGTTGTACAGTGAAGGGTCCATTGCCGAGTCCGCAAGCTGGAAAAATTATGTTGTTAGAGAGCTTGCTGATTTTGCTACAACGCCTAAATAAGTACTGCTATATAGAAACCTGGCACGTAGGGTTTTAGGTTACAGTTGGTACACCACGATAAAGTCTGATTGAGTTGCACTGAAGGAAGCAGTGGATTTCCTTCAACCACGATGCCCTCGATGCATTCGTTGTTGATACATGTGGGGAATTGTAGCTTTTCCAGATAAGGATTGTTTACAATAGTAATCGCCGGTTTGTCTGCAATAGAAGACGAAAGATTTCGGTTAGTGTTACCCTAGGTTTTGCAGTTGTTCTTACTTGGTGCACAGGACTTCCATTTGGTCAGTTTTGGGAATACTAGATTCCTGATCAGAGATCCCCTGATTTCGAGGCACATTTGAACTTCTACAGCTTCGGAGAACAGTTTTACGAGTTCAGTCTCTCCGAGATTGAACTGCAATGTGAATTCCGGTCCTCCCATAATGATTGGTTGTCCAGCACATTCCTCAACGATCTCTTCCACACTTCCAAAGGTTTGCACCCAGCGGCATTCTGAAATTTGATGCTACGGAATCATCCCTATACAATAGGGAAGTGCAGGCCTAGTACACCCACTTGAATAGACATCGCTGATGTCGCAGTACGGACATATCCCTTTCAGTGAGGTTATGGTGCTCGGTGACAGCAATGGATTTCCAGTTACCGTCACTACTTTTTCTCCTTCAGGGAAAATCACCGTCTTGGATATGACCACCGACGACAGGGCGTTATTTCCATTGATTTCGAATACTGCTCGTCCTAAACTTGCATGTTTCAATATTCGAAGAGTTCATTCAAACCAAATGAAAGATCACCTGGCTGGCATGGCACAATCTTTTCGAGGTATGGGCATTGAAGACTGGTGAAGGGGGATCCTTCCATTACAATGCACGCTTGTATGTAAACGGCGTTAGAACAGAATCTATTCAGTTCTACCTCAGTTACGTCTTTCGAGTAAATGATGATGCCAGGGGAGTTTGCTGCCGGCACTATCACATGTTTTCCTGCACAAGCCCTGACAAGCTGTTGAGGCGTGAATGTGCGATTTCCAAGGCCGCAAGCTGTAAACGGATTATTCATAACAGTTGCTGTCCACTCAAAAAAACTGCCTTAGAATGGATAAAAAGCAAAAATTTCAGCAACAGACCTGGCGCATAGTATTCCAAGTGGCAATTAATGCAGAAACCGTGAATGACATTGATTTGCTCGGTTGGGAGATAAGGATTGCCTTCCACAACGATATTCTCGATACATCGTGGGTTTGTACATGCGGGGAAGCTCAAAACTTCTAGTTGGGGATTGTTGACAACGGCCAGAGCATTTTTTCCTGAAATATAAGGAGCTACGTGGAAGTGTACTTTTTCTACATAAAGGCATCGTGTGCGAGAATTAGGTGCCTGCTAAACTCCCCAGAATCGGCATTTTCAACGATATTATTCGTCACTATGGGAATAGCGGAAAACTCCAGGAAACCTACAGTTTACATTTAAATTATGTTCCGAAACCCTCTACAGGGTCCCATCCCCCTCCTAACTTGTTTTTTGCCACTTCAAAAAGTGATTTTAGCCCATTTCCACAAGCTTGTCGAGTAGACCGCTCCGAGACCCCCTACATCCTTTTTTCCAAGCTTTTTTGAATCCTTAACATGAGGTGGTGGCCTCTATGAACGTGAAGGGAAGAATGAGTCATCAGAAAACATGCAGAGGCACCCAATCCCACATAATATGCCTTTGTTCCCGGTGCACCGTAGAAGATAAAATCAATCTACCTGGTGCACATGACCTCCACTGCATCAATTTTGGGAATACCAGCTGTTGTATGGAAGACATTTTGACAGCGAGACACATCTGTACTTCAACAGCATTTTCAAACAATCTTGTGATTTGCTCTTCTGTCAGAATCAACTGCTGTTCCACTCCCGTCTTGAAAGTGATTATTGGTTGTCCTGCGCATTTTTTGACAAATAATTCAACGTCTCCAATGACATCTAACTCGCTACAAGCTGAAATTCGGATGTTGTTCAGAAAGATTGCATTATGTAGTGGTAAGTCAAGAAACCGTACTTGAATAATCGTTTTGGATATCGCAAAGAGGGCAGATCAGACGCAGCTGTTTGATAATCACAGGTGAAAGTTGTGCATTTCTGTCGATAATGATGACCTTTTCGTTAACCGGAACAACAGTTGTCGAGGGGATTTCCACTATCGTCAAATGCGGGTTGTTAAGGATTTCAAGAGCAGGCCTTCCTGCAAAAAGCAAGTTTCTACGTAAGAAATGCCTGTAAAACTGGTATAAATGAATTGTCGTGAAAGAAGACTTTTTTAGGAACAATGCCAAAGGAGCAGAGTGCCTACAGTGTGTTTCAAAAGTATGTGCACACCCAACATTTTGTTTTTTTGGGGATACATTTGCTTTCTGTGACCTGTGACCTTTACCATTGAATCTTTTGTGTGCTATAACCTGCGAACACTTTCTCTGAGAAAACATCGTAGCTGCTAACATAAT